TCCCCTCCGCCACGCCCGGCCTTTTTAGCAACTCAACTCAAACTTGCCCTGCTCCTGCCGCTCCTCAAGGCTCGACGCAATTTAGAATCGCATCGGGTGTTGGCTGAGCGACAACAACAACACGCCGCTTGGAGGGCGGCGCCAAACACTCTAGCTCCCTCCCGCGAGCGCGCGCGAGCGCCTGCGGACGGGCGGGTAGGCAGACCCGCAGCGCACGCGAGCCTCGCGGGCCGGCCCGCCCCGCAGGGGCTCTGCACGGAGGGGAGGGGACTTTTGGGCGCGCGCGATTTAAAAGAGTGTGGATTGTGTGCGCGCGCGTGAGTGTGCGTGCGTGCGTGTGTGTGTATGTGTGTGTGTGAATTTGAAATGCAACAGCGCGACAGTCCCACTGGACCACTGGGCAGAGGGTCTCACTGATAAAATCGTAGAACGCTGTGGTCCTAATGGGGTCGTAACAGTATGGGACATTCCTACATTTTCTACATTGGGACCGTCGTAGGCTACTTTTGTATTTCCAAAGTATTTCTCTCCCGCGGTAAGGCACGGCGTTCTTTTCCTGGAACCACAAACGTGCGAGCTAGGACCTAAGCGTGCTCCCCCCCCCAGCTCTTTGTCTTCCCCCGGTACGACGCCTTCACTCTTTCTCTCTTCATCCTCTCTCTCCTCCTCCCCTCCCCCTCCTCTCTCTCTCTCTCACACACACACACACACACACACGCACATATACACGTACGCACGCACGCGCTCTTGAGTTTCTTTATTTAATTTCAGCCAGTTCTCGTGTATTCTCCATAATCTGCTTTATTATTATTATTTTTTCATTTCCCTGCCGTCGCGCCGTGCCCGGCCGCGACCTCACGTAGTACGATGTGTGGAATTGAAAGTCGCGGAAGCGGGGCGGTTTAATAACTTGTCAGCCGCGTCAGCGAGCGAGGCGAAGCGGGGGCGGGGCGGGGTGGGGCGGGGCTGCGTGCTGGCGGGGAGGGTGGGGACGGCGGGGTCACAGCGAGGTTGCACGGGAGGAGGGGGCAATCTACTGGCCGCGCCCGTGCAGCTGTAGGCAGGTTCGACAACCTAGCAGCATCACACTCATACAGCACCCTAATAACCTCCTATAGTTAATAGATTGTGACGGGTAAAAGACCAACGGCAGACGCAAGTGACCTGGCCGCTGGAACCGCCTACAGACCTCGCACGTCGCGGGCGGGCGAGGCCTGCCCTGCGTGCCCTCGGCGGCGGCCTCCTCGCGGGTCGGGCGGGCGGCGGCTCGGCGCGGTCGACGAGGTCGCCGACGAGGCCGCCGCGCGGGCCGCCGCCACCCACGCATCCGCCTCTCGATGATGCATTCTCTCCCAGACGATAAGAGCTGCTCTTGGGTGGCCGGCGGCGGGCGCGGCGGCGTCCTCCTTCAGCGCGGGCGCGACGCTTGGCCCCGCCCATCCCATCACGCCACGACACCTACACCACGCCGTTGGACCGGGACACACGAGGAGCAAAGTACGAGTCGAACGACGGTCGATCGGATCAGATAGCAGCAGATCTGTACGAGGACAGAGAGGGAGAGAGAAGAGAGAGAGAGAAGGGGGGGGGGGTAGTAGTAAGAGCGTGCAAAGCGGACGGGAGGAGGGGAGGATCGCGATGGGATGAAAATGACAAACTCTCGGCAAAGGCAGGGAGGCGCGTCGCGGGCCGCTTCAAAGACACGTTTAATTTACCTTGCAAATTTTCCTCACCCCTCGAAAAAAATAAAATAAAGTGAACTGCTCGCGTCAGTCTGTCTGTCTGTCTCCCTCTCACTCGAGAGCAGAGGTCAGGTCACCCTCCGATAACCTCTCCTCCTCACTACTCGTCCCGTTGGCGTCTCTATTTCTCTTCCTTTGCGACCACTTTGAGAAGCCGCCTTGTCCTGCCGGCGTCTCACCCCCGGACCGGACTGGAGCAGGGAGAACGCGCGATGCAAATCAAGCTCCTTTATTTTCGAGGACTGTCGATATTTGGAAGGCGGCGGCGCGGCGTCGGCGAACGCGAGGCAGTCACGGCAGGAGGGGAAAAAAAGCAATAATGAAATAGAGGCCTATAAATTATTCTAGAAGTTTGAGTGTATGCCCTTTTTTCCTCTTCGCAATTCAGCTTATAGAGAGTTTATTGAGTCGTTGATGTATTGGTGTATTTCCGTTGGAATTATATGGCTCCACAAAACTTAGAAATATGAAAAAGGCAGAGGAATATCCTATTGAGGTGACGTCATATTTTCGCTAACCTAAGAATAAGTTTATTATCGAACACTTACAAAGAGTAACTTTTCTTGATGCAAGAAAATGGTCATGAGACGAGACATCCTGTTCAAGGAGTCGACTTTGAGCGAATGTGACAGCTGAAGCCTACAGCCCGTCGTCAGGGTGACGCTCCGTGAAGTTAAGGGTCTCATCGCAGAGCAGGGACGCCATGTCCGGATCGTTCCTCCGCCTGTCCTTCTTGCCGAGAGCCCTCCGGCCCCAGGTACCTGTTGCCGAACAGATTCAGAAATTAGAAACTGCTGATAATTTGTTTTCGTTTGTTTTTTGCTGTCGGTTGTCGTCGGCACCTTCTCCGCCGGTGTGTCCGTTCCTGCCGAGGTTGACCGAGTTGTCGGCCGCCCGGAACACGGCGGCCGAGGCGCTGCCCGCCATGGTGAAGGGCACCGTGGTCTGCGGCGCCCGGCAACCGTCCCAGTCGTGGACCTGCCCGCCGCCGCCGCCCGGCCCGCCTCGCCTGCTCGTCGTGGTGGTGGTGGTGCACGGGTTGAGGTCGATGAAGTGCAGGCCCAGGTCGTCGGCGGCCGTCAGTGCGTCGTGGGCCGAGTCCACGCCGCCAAGCGTCGGCTTGTTCCTGCGGCCCCGCATGACGGCCAGCACGGCCGCGGACAGGAGCGCGAGCAGTAGTACCCCGCCGATGCACACCCCGAGCACGCCGGCTAGCGACAGGCTGCGGCCGTCTGGAAAAGTTGGGGAAATAATTAAATCCACAGCTCTATCATGTAGGAGGAATTTATTTTCTTTCTCGAGACCTCGGTACTCACGTGAGCTACTCGCGCGGAGAGGCGTCGACCTGGTCGGCGGAGGCTGCGTCGCGCCACTGACGTCAGGGTGTTTTCGAATAGGATCCTCTTCCACGACCACGGCAGGACGCTTCGTCGTTGTCGTCTCCGTGGTGACACTTTTCCGGGAGCTGGACGCCCTTGGTGGTGGCCAGGTCGTTTGGGTGATTGGATGCGTCGTCGTCGTAGTTGTAGTTGTTGTTGTTCTCGTTCTTGTTGTCGCTCTCGTCGTTCTCGCTGTCGCAACCGCCGCCGATGTCGCATCTTTGGCGGTCGACGGGGCTTTGGTTGTCACTCTGGTGACCCTAGCCGTGGTCAGCGGCGTCGCGGGCTTCCTCGGCAAGACGGTCCAGGAGGCGATCTCTGTGCTGGTCCCGTTGGCGGCTGGAGTGGTGAGTCCCGGCCTCCGCGTTGTCGTCGGCCGAATCCAGGACGGTCTCCTGGTGGTGACCACCACCCACCCTGGTGTAGGACGGGCTGTTGACCTGAGGGTCGAGGCCGATGACGTGGCCGGCGGCACGCGAGTGACGTCCCCGGGGCCCACGGGAGGCCTGGAGGACGGGCCACCAGATCGGATCGTCGACGAAGCTGCTGTGACTCCAGTCGTCGCCAGCGTCGGCCTTGTTGTGGAGGTCGTCGTCGTCGTCGTCGTCGTCGTTGGTGCTCGTGACGGAGTCTGCGACGGTGCTTGTGACGGGGTTGCCGCGGGCGCCAGGGTCGTTCTCTGCGTCACCGCCGTGGTGGTGGTGGTGTTGGTGGTGATGGTGACGGGGCGCTGGGGTGGCGCGGTGGTGGTGCGGGGAGACGTCACGGTAACCACGGCTCTTGTTGAACCGGCGGTGGCCGCTGCGGTGCGGGTAGTCGCGGTGGCACTGCTGCTGGTTGCGGCGGCGGTGGCCGCGGTGGCGGTGTGCGCGGCGCCTGCAGCAGCGCTGGGGAGCGCGGTGGTGAGCGCGGCCTCCCCCGCCACTGCAGCGCCCGCACTGAGCGTGGTGTTGACGCCCCGAGCGGTGGTCGACGCCCTGCTGTCCGTGGCGGCGCGGGTGCCCCCCTGCGTCACCCCGGGCGGTGGAGCTGCGGCAGGTGTGCAACTGTGTAGAGAGCGCTCCCCCGGGGACCAAGCCTCACCCAGGCGCAGTTGTATGTAGTTTGCAGGAGTACGAACCTGCGGTGGCGGCGTCTGCGTCTTGCTCTGCAGGATGCTCCGCGGTGGTGGCCGCGTCGGGGAGCTCGGTGTAGGGCGTGGTGACGGCGGGGTCCGTGTCGCTGTCGGTGGTGGGCTCTGCGAACAGGACAAAGCGCGTCATCATGGGGCGTTTGGCCATGGTTTCAGCGGGATCGAGGGGTGGGTCCATCCGTGGTGGGCCTCTGGGCCGTTACCGTTCGCTACCTTTGACCAGCCTGTAATTATCGTAGAGCACCATCGCCCGGCCGACCCTTTGGCGACCCATCCCCACCGCACCCTATGCCACCCTTTTTCTCCCTCCCTTTGGCCCCGCCCACCAGGAGGTCTTGACACAGTGACCTAGCGGAGGGGCCACCTGGGAGCGCGCCGGCCCGAGCGCCAGAGGCACAGGCCCGGACGACCTCGTTGACATGCCGCAGGTTTTCGACGCCACGGTCTCGTGGCTCCGCAGAGCTCCGAAGGGCTCCGCAGGGCAGCTGGGCGGATGGCGTCGTAGTGCCAGGGCGGGGTAGGTGGGGCGGGAGGGTCGGGGGTGGCCGCGGCTCGTCCTGCTTCCTCGGGGGAGCGTTGCCCCCTCCAGCTGGTGCAGTATTAGCATAGCGACCCCCATCCTCCGCGCCCCGCGCTACCGGCGTGGAGATGCTGGGCAAAAACCCAAGGGCCCGTCCATCCCTGAGGCCCACCTCCCCCTCCCCCCTCGAGGACGACCGCGGTTGGAGTCCACTCCGCTGTTCTGCTGCCCCCTTCTTCCTAATCCACCTTCCGCCTGTCCAAGAGGAAAACGCACATTTCCTCTTGAAAAGATTTCTCCAGGACAAATATTACTGGAGACACAAGGTGCGCGGGCTTGGGCCCGTGACGTGGCGACGCGCGGCGGGGCCCTCTCGGGCACTCTCTCCCTTCCCTCTTCATCAGCCGTGTCGATAAAAATAAATGGATGGAAATGTGTTTGCCTCGCGACTGGGACGGAGTGAGCTGTCGCGCTGTGCCGCTGCAGGAGCCAGCGGAGAGCGATCGGGGCTCGGCGACGATGGCGACCGGCGAGAGCATATTGCTTTTTCATTGACATTGCTGGTGCCTGGTGCCGCAGTGCCGCAGGACGAGGCGTGGGTAAGCTAATACCATTCCCGAGTTCATTTACTGTTGGTATATTTTCTTCTCTGTCCTGCTGACTGATTCCGAAGAGCGCTCAAGGGGAGCTGCCCCATGAGTGCGACAAGGATGGAGCTATACGGAAGGTGTAGGAGGCTGATCGCCGCCACAACGCGGCGCTCGCTTCTGAGTTTGCCCCGGTTTGCCCGCGTCGCCCTGCTCTGCTCTCCGCCCTGTGCTTCTTTGCCGCAAATGCGCCCATCATGATGTTCTGCCTCGCGCGGCTCCCGCTCCAGCAAACCCTAACCTCCCCCTCATCCCC